AATGATAGGATCCGTTGTCGGTGAAGCGATGGCTGTTGATTGGGTTCTTCAGTCACTTCCTAACTCGTATAGTGAGTTCGTAAGAGAGTACTATATGATGAACCGCGACGTGACCCTTATAGATCTCACCTACATGCTTATTGCTGCTGAATCAGAAATGGTTTGGCGCAATAGAAAAGCAAAGTTGATTGGTGAATCTGCCTTCAAGACCTCTATGGATATAGACAATGGCAATGAAAGACATGCAATGATCGAAAAGTTTGATCATAAGAGAAAGGCGATGTCTGAGGTAGTTCCATGTGTTGTTCCAAAGGAGTCAATTTGCTTTTATTGCCAAGAGAAGGGGCATTGGAGACGAAGTAGCCCTATTTACCTAAGAGATCTAAGAGATGGGAGAGTCAAAAGTATGACTACGCTTTAGGTAAGAATCCACTATCTAACTCCATTAAGTTCCTATTCATTGATTCTTAATACATGATGTGATAAGATTACATTTGAGTGTTGTGTAGGATCGGTAAAAAAGAAACGAAGCTTGATAAGAGAGCAAGATGAATCTAATCACAAGAGATGGATCTCGATCTCATGGACTTGAAGATTGGATTTTGAGCTTAGATAGTTATGATAGAGTTGTTAGAAATTTTCTTTTACATAGTTTTCAATAGATTTTGCATTGTAAGGACAAATGTTTTTCCGCTGTTTTTTATAAATAAAACAAATTTTGTTTAACTTATTTATTTGTTTACTTCCTTGCAATGAAATTGTTATGAAAATTGATGTTTGCATATTTCTACAATGAATGGATGTGATTCTTAGTTATGTTATTTATGGAAGTGTCAAGAATTTACCAAATAGGGAGAGTTTCTCATCGCCCAAGTTTCAATTGGACCGAAACTTGGAATCATGCAACTTGGTTGCACGATGAATGAGAAATTTCATATTTTGGAAATTAGACTAATTCATTGAAAAAGTGTCAAGTGAAGGACTAAGAGATCGAGTACACAAAGTTGCGTATTGATCAAAGTCCACCATAAGAGTAATAAAGACATTCGTAATGATTTACTAAAGGTTTAGTAAATATGATTACACTTACAAGATTAAGTGTAATTTTGAATTGATTAAAGGGTTTAGATCAATAGCAAAACGAATAAGAAGAATCAAGTAGGCAGAAAGATAAGAGTTTCTCCATTCTAAGAAGAAGGGAGAGTAGCTTTTATGCTTTATGATAGGTCTTAATGATTAAGAACCATATCTCAATTGATCCTCTAAGTGAGTCTTGGTACAATTGTATGTCCAAGAAGAGGAATCAAAGATTGATGAAATGGTCAAATCAAGAAGACACTACAAGAAAAAAGCCCTTTAATGACGCGCAAACAATGACACTCGCTGATAGAGGTCGCGCATTTGTAAGTGCCCTAAAAAATACTGTCAGTTTTGCAAAATTTGAAGGATAGAGGGCACGCATTTGTGCGCGCCCTAAAATTGGTGTTAGAAAAGAAAAATAAATAAATGCGGAGGGCGCCTTTCATAAATTGTGCATCATGTAAGTGTGTCGCTTTATAATTTTTAAGTGAAACACGCGTTTTAGGCGGGAAATGAAATCGACTAAAATTACTGGCGCCTATTGTATCCCAAAAATTAATCCCCCGCCTCTTCTACTTAGCAAGAAAAATCCCTAGGTCCTTCATCTTCATCTTCAGCGGTGGGAATACCTAGGTCGATTATTCAGGGTTCAACAACAATTTGTAAACAACAATCGTATACGATTCTGGATCTCGGCATGATTATGGCGCTTTGGAGCCGACGACGTGAACATCATTCATGAGAAAAGTTCATACAAAATTCAAGAATTTCAATGGTTTCGATTATTGAGTGGGGTACAGGGAGGTGTAATCATTTTGGAATCTTTACTAATTGAGTTGAAATTGAACCCGAAAAACTCAATCCACACTTCGAACATCTCTGATTCTTTCTTCTTTCGCTCCCCAATCTCCTTGGCGCGCTCTTTCCATTTCCATTTCCAACCTCAAACCACCGTTAAATGGAACCCAACAATTCAATCAATCAAATCGGCAATCACATCGACGATGATGGTGATCAGAACTCATTTCCAAGCCACCGTTATCAGATCATCACCTATTCAAGAAAGAGAAAACACTCTCAATCTCAGGTAATCACACTAATCGATTCAACACAAGTAAACCCTCTTTCGGAATCATCAGTTCTAGGGCTTGTTCTCCTTGCTCATACGTTCTCATACGATATTCAAAACCTCACTAAGTCTCTCCTTCTCGAAATCCTCGCAAGATTGCCCCTGAAATCAATTTTTAGGTTCAAATGTGTTTGCAAACACTAGCTAGATTTAATTTCTCAGCCTTCATTTTCCTGTTTCTATTGCTCGCATATGCTCACAGCCAGCGCATCGTCATCATCCTTACCTCAAAATTCTCGATCCTTTGCTCTTTCAAAAAAAGTAAGCAGGTATTTTTGTATGTTCTTGTGGTCTCTTTACTTTCTGCTTGTATTGATAATATTGAACATATGTTTTGAGAATAGAATATTAAACCCTAGATTCTGGAAACTTGCAGAAAAGGAAGGAGATGAGCTATGCACTCCAAGTGTTCGAAGAAATGCTTAAAAGAAGAATCTTACCTAATTCATACCTTATAACATTACCTGATGTACACAAGACCAAGTGATATGGTACCTAATCACACCTTGCACTCGAATGCATACAGGGCAAGCCTGTATTTATTCTTTTTCTTAATTTGTTGGAGATGGTAACTAAGGATCGTTCTTGTGAACATTCCTTCTTTTCAGGCTGTAGATTATCACAACTAAGAAATAGTTAAACTAAATTTTGTTAGGTGAAACTAGGTATGTTCTTAAATTTCTTTTTTATAAACTTGGTTACATTGGTTGATCTGGTTTTTTTTCATGATCTTATCTAATTTGTGCTCTTGTAGTGCCCATGCACTTCCACCTTCATATCGGTCACTCATGACAACTGATGATTCAAGGATTCTTGATTTCTATGTTGATGGTATGTCCCATTCTAAGCTGTCTAATAGATAAATTTTGTTGCTTAATATCATTATGAACACTATTGATTATATACATATGTTGTTGTTTATACTCAGATTTTAATGTCGACATAGATGGAAAAAGATTTATTTGGCAGGTTAGGGGATATGATTATTTGGCAGGTTAGGGGATATAATTTTCTTATGTTTCAAAATATCTCTTTTGTAGGGTATCTGCAAGTTTCCTTTTATTGATGAAGAGCGCCTTCTTGATTCAACAAAAATGATTAAGAAGGAACTGACTGTACGTAAGGCTGAATTATATACAGGACTTTCAAACATTTGACAAGGAATCTAATTAACATGGTCTTTTATCTTCAGGAGGAGGAAGCTAAAAGAAATCCTGAGAATGTCGACAAGTAGTTCCTACACATTTTAGAAAATCTTGCCTTGCGGATTATCACTTCCTTTAACAATGAAGGCTCCATCGAGCAAAATACATGCTTAAGGTTGTGTTCTCCATTGTTATAATGCAGTGATTATTCTTTTTCCTAATGTAAATATTTTCTTCTCTTGTTTCAATTTCAGTGGAGAATTAATATCATATGTTTGTTGGGGTTACATTGAGCAAAACAGTAGGCGGTAGGCTAATCGCATCCACCCTAGTCCAAGTATCTTTTCCACACACACACACACACCCTAAACTTTAAAGATGACTAGAATTAATATTTCATGTAGATGACTTTTTTTTTGTTAAATTGCCTTTTCTCAGGAAAGATCCCATCTCTCCAACGGATCAATGGATGACCACAATCGTGGTTCGGGGCAGGTTGTGCTTTTTACTTGTTTTTTTGGAAAGTTGATTACCCTTTCTATTTTTTCATTAATTTTCTGCTTTTGTTTTCTGTTGCTTGCAGATGATGGATGGAACCCAGATCAATATAGATGTAACTGCAGTTGGGGCTATAATTGCTTTGGGTCTAATGTACTTAAAGGTAACTCTTTGGCAGGAAGGATGACTATATATATTTGTTTATGATTTTATGTCAGCTCTGTTCTCAAGATTTACAACTTTGAAAAAATATTCTAATGACAGACTAAATTGCAAGCGATTCTATCCAGGCTTTGTATCCCATAAACACATTTCGAATTGCAATATGTGAGGCCCCACTTCATAATGCTCCATGTCATTTCCAGTAATTTAATAATGTGGAGCAGGTACTGCTATTTAAAATTCATATGCTACATTAATATTCATGCTGGCTATATGTAAAGAGTAAGAGATCTCTTTAAACACCTTGCATGTGTTTTTAGGATTCATCCATCAGAAGATTGGATTCAGGGTTAGATACCCAAAGTAGTCTTGAATGGCATCAAAGGATTCATCCATCAGAAGATTGTGAGTACATCTCATCAAGAGACTAGTGATTACTTTTCTGATGAATCAAGACGTATACATTGCACAAAATGTGACCTAATGCATATATGGAAGTTGAAAAGCTGCTGACTATGGCATACACTGTTGGCCTCCTTGGAATTGTAAAGCTGCTAACTGTGGCATAGACTGCTGAACACTTAGACTTTGAAAAGCTGACTGGTGGCCACATGGAAGTTGAAAAGCTGACTGTGGCAACTACTGCTGCTGCTGGACACCTGGAAGTTGAGAAGCTGATTGTGGCATAGATTGGTGTCCACCTAGAAGTTGAAAAGCTAACTGTGGCATAGGTTGCTGCTGCTGGACACCTTGAGGTGGAAAAGCTAACTGTGGCATAGGCTGCTTCTGCTGAAATACTAGATGCTTGACCATTTTGAGAAGGAAAAGCAATTTGCGAGGGTCCAGGTGGAGGCAATATATCAGCTAAAAATGTCAACAGTTGAATCAAAATCAAAAGTATCCCCAAATCCCCCTGACCCTGACATTGGGTCAACTGAAAATGATGGTGGTTCAGCAACAGTTGTAGTGAAGGGTGATGTTGGTGGTTAAGCCGAAAATCCATCAGTAGAAGGAACAGCTTTGAAAGGACCATCACCAAACGGATCATCAAATGCCTGCAATCAATGCATAAAGAGTGTAAATTTACAACATAAACAAACTATCAATATGTGTGTGTAGAATCCAGCTTTTAAGACACTCACGCACCCGACTTGTCGATGAGGTATCGAAGGTGAGATAAGGATTAGTATTTGCTGGAGGATGAACTTCAGTGGTTATAGATGAAGTAGATGTTACAACAGCCAAAGCATTTGAAGAAGAGAAAGACTCTGATAGAGAACCAAACAAATCCTCCATCTCTCCACCACCTGATCCTTGCAGGGCAAACGCAAGGGCAGGAGCAGGAAACACCACGGGGATCAAAAAAGTCAAACCCATCGTTTTCATTGTTGACTGTCACTGCAGGTGGTGGCGGCGTAGTGGTAACTGGAGGTGGTGTGGCGCGGCAGCTGGTGGTGGTGGAGCAGTTGCTGCCGGAATTTCTTGATGGTTAATGTTCACCAGTCCTTAAAATGCTTACAAGTTAGACTAGATTCCATTACTTATATATATATATATATATATATATATATATATATATATATATATATATATATATATATATATATATATATATATATATTTCAATTAGTAAATAAATCTTTTGACTTATTAATTTTAATTTACCTCTTGGTATCAACAGGGCTATGACCGTCACTCACAACATCTTCATAACTAGGAGGCCCACCAACATTTTGTCCAGATGACCTTGGTTCAAGCCCCCTGCCCTCACCACTAAAAAAGAAAATTTTTCAATGTATTGTATATATATAATATATATATATTATATATATATATATATATATATATATTATATATATATATATATAATATATATATAACGAGGGTATTTTGGTCTTTTAATCAAAAAGCAGATTCCTTCGACCCTCTAAATTACCTTCCATCTGGAGAAGCATCCTTCAACTATAGCACCCAGATAACCATTTCTTGCTATAACAGTAGCATAGTTATGATTCAATTCACGAATCCAAGAATTTAATCTAATTAAACTTTTATCAGATCAGAAGTTCCTGTAAGTTCAGGAGAGTAATGCAAACAATTGTCACACTTGGAAATGCTTTGAACCAAGGAACAACAAGAGGTCAATATTTTCATTTGTTTATTTTATGTTATTAAATATAATAATATTTTGTTATAGTTGATTTTGACTTAGACTTTGACTTTGATTAATTTGGTGTCATTTTAGGCGCTGCTATTTGGTTCAGATTTGATTAATATGTTGTATGGAAAATAATTAAAATTTTAAAATAACAAGATAATGTTGTGGATAATTAATTAAATTTTTGGTGCTTGTTGACAAACTACCTGAACTCCTTGATTTCCCAAGGATCTTGACAGTTTGGAGGATCTTGACAGTTTGGAACCTGCATCAAGGGTGGTGATCACAATTAATCTTATTCAAATATTTAGAAATTTAAAACATGTGTAAATGTAATTAAGAATTTATTGATTATTTATTATTTTTCAGGTACAATTAAAATATTTGGCAGAGGAAATGCAAGCTATTAGCAAAGGACTTGAAAAAGTTGTCCAGGAATTGTCAATGGCTAAAATGATGGACTTGTCTTTGAAAAATTTCTCAAATTAAGAGTTATCAGTACACAACCGTTTATGTAGGCAACCTTAGCCCTGAAGAAGTACTTTTTCTACAAATATTGCTTAAGGTAGTGGAGGGCCTTTATGTAATGTGATGGATCAACCTCTTTTAAAGTTTCATCTACATCTAGTTTTATTCTTCTGACATGCTTTTTGTATTTGGTTTAACAGCTGAGGATCATAATCAAACAAAAGCCTTGTGTTGGTGTAGGGCCTTTATGTAATTCACAACAGGTTTCCATGATGGCATGAAAGTGGTATTAAGTATTTGCATTTTTATTATATTATACCCCTCACATTTTCCCAAATTACCCCTTCCTCTACAATGTTTTTTTTTGTTTCTGTGTATTTTGTGCATTAGGTAAAGTTGATGGAAGAAAGGAATATGAAGCCACTTGATTTAAATCTTGCAGCATTATCAGCAAGATGCAGTAAAGACTTGGAGTTGAATTTGGCTAAGTCATTATTGAGTGAGATGGGCCAATGTACAATTGCATATCCATATAATCAGCTGTTTGGAACATTACTTTTAAAGAATTATGAAAGGCAAGATGCAACTTTACTTAGTTGGAACTTGATGTACATAGTAGATTAGATGCAAATTTATATATTGTAAGAAATAGAATTATATGACATTAAATTTATGCAATGGATTCTATTTTTTGTATATGATATTTTATTTTCTATTATGAAACATTAAATAAAAATTTAATTTGAAAATAATTAAATCTATAAATAATATTTTTTTTAAACATTTAAAATTATGATACGCAAAAATGTGTGTCATCTTCATTTATGACATGGCCTTTCTTGATAGGGGCTTTCTTGATACGCATTGCGTGTCATTAACACGCGCGTCGTAAGGTTATGACACGCGAATGCGTGTCGTCTTCCTTTATGACAGGGCCTTCCTTGATACGCATTGCGTGTCGTAAATGCGCGTCGTAATTGCACGTCATAAATGAGCGTCGTAAATGCGTGTCGTCTATAGACGATGCGCGCGCGTCGTCTTTCTTTATGACAGGGCCTTCCTTGACGCGCATTTGCGCGTCGTCTGAGCCTTTTACGACGCGCAATGAGCGTCGTAAAAGGCTGTTTTTCTAGTAGTGAGACAATCATACTTCGTTCCAAAACAAGTCTTAAAGTCTAGATTGTGACATTGAGTGAATAGTATTAAGAAGGTTTATAACATTCATCAATTGTGGAAAGTTGTGATGTCTTGAATAAGACAAAGACCAACTAAGACCAATTTATGAAGTGTTTTGATAAAAACTACACTAACTCTTGAATATTTGTCAAGAAATGTTTATTGACAAAAGAATATTATATGTCAAGGAGTCAGTGGGAGTCTTATTGGTCTGGAAAGTTTCAAGAACAAATCAAATAAACCTTATCAATCATCACTGGCACACGAGTTGAGGTTTACAACCTATCGTGTTGACGTTATCTTGTTTGTGTTGTTTCCAATTGAGTTAATTATGCATGTGAGTTCTATGAGTTCTCATTTTGAACGCATAAAACGCAAGGCACCTTGATCAATGAAAGGTACATTGATAGGAAAAGGTGAGATGCTTAACTACTTGGAAGACGTGGTGGGCAGCTGTGCTACCATAAGGCAAGAAATCAAGATTAAGAAAGTTCGATCCATATAAGTTTGAATTTGTCGTAAACTTTGGTTTTTAACAAATTCACATGGATAGGAACAGATACACTGTTTAAATCTAAGTGTCATAAGATTTCCTCCTTCATGAAAATGATTGTGAGAAAATGCTTTCACTAAGAAAGATTTTAAAAGATAGTGATCGTAAAATTGCATTCTCGAATTCGATCATGGTTACGGCATCCCTTTCCATAATTTGAATTGTGAGGTTTGGCAATTAGTCTTAATTGTTAAGACACACTATGAACTATCTAAGGCAAAAGTGTATAAGTTCAAGAAGCCTTGATAAAAGATTATCAAAGCACTAAGTATTAGAAACATGAACTTAAGAAATTCAATAAGTATTGTTTTTCTGAAAGTTAAGATGTTTATGAATACATGTCGAAGCTAGTGGGAGCATAAGTGTTATGTTTTATAATAATCATCATGATAGTGGGAGCATAAATGTTATGATTGTATGATTATTAAGGAAGTATTGCATAGTTGGCAATATTAATTATAGAAAAGAAGAGTCATACTTTGCAAAGTTGTAAGAGTTGAAAGGTTGTTTTGCTATAATTAAGGGAGAGAATATTATGCTTCATTTCAAATCTAAAGGATTAGGTTGAGAAATGTTAATAAACTTAGTCAAGGGTACATAGTGTGTTCTTAAAATTTCGATTATGATTACGGCATTCCTCTTCACAATTCGAATTTTGAGAACATAGCAAATAAAACATTATGCGTCGTGTCCCATATGCTTTGGGTATAGGATCGATTGCAAATGCTTTAATGTTTGACCATTCTAAAATTTTCCAAATGTCTAGCGCATTGAGAGGGAAAAGGGACTAGAATCGGTTTTGACTAAAATAATTAAACAACTATCAAAGGACAATCCAAAGTTCGACGAGGATTGGTCGCTTGTGAGTAGTTGGAAGTATAGTATTGGAAATTATGGAAATGTTTCCATATTGGATGGACATATCGACATTATTAGGAATAGATAAGATTCTATTAAAAATAGTTGTCATATGGAAATATGGAAATGTATCTATATTGGGAATTGAATATTGAAAATCTATGTCTAGATTAGAAACTTTTATGCAAAAGGATGTTCAAAGGAATGTACTTTGAGTGAGAGACATCATATCTAAGGAATTGTCTTGTAACAATCTACGTTAGAGGACTTTGTAATATCATTGGCAATAGTCTTTGAGACTTTGGTGCAGTGACATTAAAAAAGGATCGTTGCATAAAGTGTTAGAATCTAGTATATTCTATAAGTAACAAGAATTTGATATTCTTACACTTAAGAAAATGGATTTGGAGTTGTAAATGAGAAGATTGGAAAGTGTTAATTTGTCTATTTCACAAAAGTAAGAACCATAGGTAAACATTGTGTGCATGCTAGGAGCATGGGACAAGTGTTGGAATTCAAGTAAGAAGTTGATTACCCGAAACGACAAATAATGAGTAATCGATATGGTGATAAATAAAACGTGTTTTGGTTATACTCAAAGGTTTGAGGCCATATGGAATTAGTATTATTCTTGTGTTTCACCTTGCATGTTTTGACTTCCAGAATAATTGAGTTTATTAAGAATAATCGAATTATTCGAACGGGCCACAGTCGTTCATATGTTGGAAGTAGTATGAATGAAGACTATCGTGAATTGGTGTGTGGATTGTCTAAAAGAGTATTAGACATAAGCAAATGTTTGCTGCAACGTTCATGAGTGCTTATGAATATGATTTGAGCATTGGATTAAACCCACGCTCACTTGGATCACTATCTCGAGTGATTAGTGAGACGATAACATCTTATATTCTTGAAACCGAGATGTGTGAGTTGTATCTTGCTAATCGGTTGCACATTGATAATATGTAAACGCACTAGTAACTTGGTGTTATAAAACATATTGTTGTGTGTGATTTGGTTAGTGAGTGCAAAAAGCATTGTATCAAAGTTTATCCGTTCCTTTTATTCAAAGAATAAAAGCGATATCTTTGGGCCCTCGATGGTTTAGTGATGAAATACGTAAATGCTCGGCGGGCTAGGGCTAATTTGATTTGTTCAGTTAGT